ACAAACTATTTGTCTTTGCTCAACAATCAAGCTAAAATTGCCTTTTAATGGCAGTTTACTTATTTATTTATTTGTTTATCTTTGCATATCTTAAAGGTTTGCCAACTTCGAAGGCAGCTAATGCCCGAAAAAATACCTCCAGACTCCAGACCAATTTATCTTTTATAATTTTTCAATAAATTTATTGTTTTTCGTTTTCTTTTTGTTTGCGTTTTTGTCGATTGTTTACAAAAAACATTTATTATGCATAGTTTGGTTAGACAGGCGAGCAAGCTATCAATTTTTCACCTTTCGTATCTGGCAGATACATCAAACAAAAAGTTGAAACTTGTTGCTTGGGTTTCGGTTTTCGGTGTTCGACGTTCAGTTTTCAGTTTTCTGATGGTGCTGCTTGCTAACTGTGTCGCTAAATGTGCTTTGCGGTGTTGTTGGGGAGATAAATTCCATAAAATCAACAGCAACACACTCTAAAATCGACGACTACCTAAGCAACAATAACAATGAGAAATGACAAAGGCAAACGACGACGACGACGACGCTATCTGAGGGAGAACTGATGATGATTTATGAGCGTCAGAAATCAAGTAGAAAATTACGGTAATAGAAGAACACAAGGCAGACTGCACACCGATACGAACGCACACCGAAATAAATTCAAGCGCACAGATATATCTATACCTTACTACCTAGGTTTCCAACTCTACTCGAGAGGTTAGCACAGACAGCCGAAAATATGTACAAACAAAATCGACGCCGTACGTTGGGCAATTTTAGCTAGAATTTATTTCGGGTTTGGGCAAACAGCAGAGAGCCCACATGAAAAACGATAAAAACATGTTTTCCAAGACTATTTCATTGGGGGAGTTATTTTTAATATGCTAATTGCCAATGCAAATATTGAGCTAGCGCCTGGTTGAAGCAATTTGCATTTTATACGAACAAAACTTAAAGTGTCGGCTATAAATCCGATGGCACACTCACACGTGTGGGAGAATAAGAAACAGAAACACATATTTATGGCATTTTTTCTTTCGTCGGGCATCAGTTTCGCTTTGAGTCTAATTCATTTAGCAAGACGACACCTTGTTAGAGCCCTGACTTATGGCGGGATGTGGGGGGATATTTTCCAGCTGCCCTGTGTGTGGGTTTTAGCTGGAAATGTAGCGACTAGGTGTTAATTTTGTTTGTTATTCGAGCCAGTCGCCAGACCCCAGTCCCCAATCCCAAGGAACAAATAGTTCACAGCCAGCACGAACAACGAAGAAACACAGTTCTAAAATGAAAATTTCCATTTAAATTTAAAATGAAAATTAACAAGGCATGCGGGCGAGTGTAGGTGTTGGGAAATTGAGAGGGATAGGGGAGAGACCTCAACAAGTGGAAAATGTAAATGGAAATTATATTTTGGGATCATTAATAAGTGGAGGGATAGACCAAGATTTTCTAAGACTATTTAATTGACAAAAAAATTTCAACAAATCTTTAAAAATGCAATCCTATCACAGTGACTCAAGTTAATTAACACAGACCAACCGCATTCCTTAGATGGATAAAGATTTTCTGGACTTCTTAGAAAGTTTCCCCCAACACATCCTTTTTATCGCTCATTCCCCCAAGAATCAAACGAAAACAAGCCCAATGAAACTTATTTAATATGCCTTATATAGAAAGCAGTTAATTAAATCGACCCTGTAGGAGGGCGGCTGTTTCTGGAGCTTCCCTTGAAATCAGTTAACAAAAGCCCCAAGATAAACAGAGCCAGTCGACGAGGATGCAAAGCAAAGGGGCACACAAACCACAAAAAAAACGAAATGAAAAAAAAGGAAAGGAGCAGAAGCAGACCCAAGTTGAGTTGAGTGTATGAAATGCCCAAGTTTAAACAGAATTCAGATCGAGATCCGAGGAAGGAAGGGCGCGATGGGCAGGCATCATTAATTCTCACCCAAGTGTTGCACGACGACTGCATCGCTTTCCTCAGCCCGCTGTGCATATTTCCAATTAAAGCGACTTGCAACTCTAATGAACTTGAAGATATCAATCTACGCGCTGTTAACCCTAAAAAACCGCAGACAGACGGCGACGAAGAAGAAGTCCGGCACGAAATAAATGTCAAGCTAATTAAAAGGCAGGGAAAAATCTGAGGCTGCAATCGAGCATGCAATATTACTCATAAATATCCCGTCTTGTCTCTCGCAGCAGCTAGCAACTTTGTTTAGAGGCAGCAAATTAATTGAAATAGTACCAAAAATAGAAGCAACAACTGAAGTTTCTGTTGCATGTATCCACCAGATACGCATCTCTGGGCTGCATCTACGCACATGTTTCTCTCTCAGTCCATCGCCAACCCATCCCGAATGGAAAGGAAGCGCTCGGCCCGCGTTAAAACAAACAAAAACATATTTTTCTTATAAACAGAACTCTGAACAAAATAATTTTATTTTCAGCAGGAAGCATCAGGTTCTCTTGTATCTCTGCATCTTCCCTTCACTCCACCTCTCTTGAAAATACACTTGAAAAGGAATGCTCGTTTTGAAATGTTTATAAAGAATATAAGCATTTTTATTTAAATAATGCATTTCTTTTAAACATTTTTTAGATATTAAATTTCAAAAACTAGTTTTTGTTCTCCTCCATTAAGTTAAAAATTGCTTAAAAAATAATTTAAATAATTGTAAACCAGATTCCCATTTTCATACATTTTCTCCGTGTGTACTTGAGTATCTTTTTGGGCTCTCGCATCGAAACATAATTAATTTCTGTTTGTTTAAGGTCTGCGCCTGCGACTGACTGTTGTTTCCTGCGACGGCGACGGCGATGACGATGGCGATATTTGCTTTCCTCCGAGCGGAGAGATTCGAGCACTGAGAACTCCTTGAGATTCATTGGAATTTCAATTTTCAAAAAACGATACTCCACACAATACATATTCATTGTCGTCGCTCGCCGTCGTGTTGGGCATTTAAATGCTCGCTCATAAATTTGTTTTCTGCTTTTTTGCAATGTCATAAATTAAACATTTTCGAAACTGATACGTTCCGCCCCTCCCTGACTGCCTCTTTTATTTTTATTGATCATCAAGTTGACATTCGCCGGAGAGAGAATATTTTGCCATAAATTATGCGCCTAATTAATTGGCCTACAAATTCCAATTCCTCCGCTCAGAATCTTTCCCAGTTAATTAGTCAGAAACAGAAAAGCGAATCAAACGAGTCTTGGGGCTCTGAAGAGCTTTGATATTCTCCATGTTGTCTTCTTTCGTTGTTTGAACCTCTGAGATTTTTATGGAAATGTATTTGTGTGTCGCAGATTTATAACTTTGGATTCACATTCAAATTGAGCTTTTCTTAGAATTTGATTTTTTCAAGCTTTGAAATTGAATAAAGAATAATTTTTTAGATTTCTTGGCCATGAGATTTATAATGACAAGTTAGCTTTATTAAGAATTCAGAAAATATAAATCTGCGCCTCAAATGGAGTTTTTGGAAGTGTCATAAGTTTTGGTTTTTGAGCTAAATGAATTATAGTTCAAAATTCTAAATAACATGAGAGAATGGAGTTTTAACGAGAAAAATTCCATTTAGGCTAAAGATTTGGAACAAGCAATTTAATTACTAAAAATTTGTAATTTGTAATCGTTCGAAATTAATTAGACAAGAACGCTGAAGACGATAGTTATAAATTTTCTTTATTCTGAGCCGTTTTAATTGCGAATAACCCATTTTGTTAGTGGGAAAAACCCTACCCAACCAAAGAACTCAATTTCAGATGAAACACTTCCACTTCTCCCCAAATTTCGCCATGATCTCGAGTCCTACTATCTCAATTGGGCAAGCCAGATATACGAAGAACGCAAAAGCCGGAGGCAGTCGTTCATAATTAAAAAATTGTCATTTTGTTGTCGTTTGCTTAACTTTATCTGCAATTGGTTACAGCAGAGATTACACTTGGCAAATTGTGAGGTGGAGGTAGAACGGGTGTAAATCAAAGGCGGCAAAGTGTGGGCCCACAAATAGCCGGCATTGTTGCTCCTCCGACTTATCTGAGTTCTCTTGGCTTGGTTTGGTTAGGCAAATCTCTTGCGGCACTCCCACACGGGCAGTTTCTGCTTCAGATACAGATACAAAGACAGATACAGATATACGGATACGGATACAGGGGCAACCTCTTCTACGGCTCTTTATTTGTCACTGGCTGATTAAACTTGCATTATATATACACATAAATATATGTACAAAGAGTGCCGTTAAAGCAAATAACAACAAGGCGCGTTCTTTAATAAGAAATAAAGAGAAAAAAACGCGGGGAGGGAGTGAAAAAAGTTAATTAAATTGTAAGTGAGTGGCTGCTTCTTCCATTGGCACACACGCAACTTCTTCATCATCCGGCGAATGTCTGGCCCCTTAATCCCGTGGCGTGATTAAAGTAGTCCACTTTCGGCTAGGCCCGGGGATAAAACTCCCCGGCCATTTTCCCATTTTCCCTTTGCCCCTTTCTCCGCCGGCTTTTCCTGTTTGCCTTTTGGGAGCTGCTACTTTTCCTCTGTTTTTCTTTCGTGGCTTCGCTGCTTTTGAAGTGCTGCCGCAGAGACAACTGCAATTGTTCTTTAGCCGCCCACAAATTTATTGTCCAAATATTAACATATTTGCCCGAGACCCCGAGAACATAACTCAGGCCGCAAATTGTGGCAACTCTTTTGCCCCTTCGGACAGCCTGTAAATTATGTCGCCAAGTCCCTTTTTTCCAGCAATTTTTGCTGGCACAAATCCAGTTTTATGCTTATTGCATAATTAAGTTATTTGGCCTTTAATATTTTCTAATTATACAAGATTTATAAACACTTTTTACGACCCCTTTTACGATTAGCCAGATTCGACGATGCTCGAACACTGCGCGCGGGGATTTCGTTTTATGGAAGTGGCTCAGTTTAAGTTTTTATGGCTGCACCTAAAACCATCAGTTATCAGATAACTTATCGCATCTCTTTTTGCATCTCATTACAGCTGGGCGGAATTGTATGAAGCAGGAAATCAACCAGAAAGCAGCTAAACCAACGGAATGGAAAAAATGGTAAGTGGAAAAATGTTTGAAATGGGTCTCCGAATTCGAAAGCAAAGTTATCAAATTCTTTAAAAATAAATAATTTTTCATTGTCTTGAAAATATAACTTGTTTTCAATTTGTAAGATTTTTCTTTTAAAACATCATTTTGTTGCAATCTTGGCTTAGAATTTATGGACTCTCCTCTATAATTTGGATTCCTCTGCTATTTTGCATACAACAAGACATCAGCTAGACGTAAATATAAATAAGAGGCCAGGAAACTTGACCTTTCTCCCCGCCAAACACTTTGCCCCTTGGCTACTTCATTGCGCTTAGTTTGCCACACAATGGAGAGAAAAATGCCAGAGCCCTCTTTCTTGTGACCCGGCCAGTGCAATTGACCAAGGAGCAAAGGAGCCAAGGAGCAGGAACCTCCTAGTAGTCAGTATCCAGCATCATAAACATCCTCTCCGTCTGCGGTTGTCGGCAGTTACTTTTCAACGCCAATTTTGCTCTTCAAAACGAGCCATCTCCTGGTGCACAGGGAAAAATAGTTAAAAGAAAGAAAGAAATTAAAAAATCTATTAAATATAATATATTAATTAAATTACAATTATATATAATCGATTAGTATATATTCTTAAAATTATAAAATTAATTTAGCTCTTATGTGATCCATTTTTAAAACTTTATCTCCGAATTTTGAAAATAGTTTTCCTCTGTGTAGAACTATACTTTCGGTTTGAGCCTGGTTTTCTGGTTTCGGCTGCCGTGGGCGATGCATCTTCAGACGCGACTTGTTGCCCCATTGTTGGCTTACCCTTTTGAGCAGAGAATATGGGAATATGGTTGGGCGACGGAGACCGGGAAAGAGAGAACTGAATCTTCGGGCATATCTTTTGCCACTTTAACGTTAACGAGCTGTTGACTTCTTTCTGCTTTTGCCGGCAGTTGAGTTGCCAAGTTCTTCAGCCCGACTCCATCTCCATTTCCTTCTCCTTGTTCACCGTCATCATCATCTGGTTGCCTGCTTTGCCTATCCATCATTCTCTCATATTTCCTTTGGCTGCTTTAATGCAAAATATCCTGGCAAGCCTTTCAGTCTAGTTAGCATCAGTCCGTCTCTTTCGCTCGCCCTGCAACCGTCTCTCTCGACGTCTCAGTCTCAACTTGTCTGGCCAACTGTCGAAGCTTTTTGTTGATATGGTACGGTCTTTTTTTTCCAGACACCGTTGTTTTATTTTCGTTTGTTCGAGCCTCATTTGTTATGCGAGACATTTCGAAATGTTCTCGTAATTAAAACATGAAAATATTTCCATAAATACAAACATTGATTCAGCCAGATGGGCAAACACACTGCAATGACACATCATCATTCTCAATCCGTTCGCTCGATCCTCGTCCGCCTTTTTTGTTTTTTGTTTACAACGCGTTTGCCTAAGATTACAAATAACTAATTTAATATGCCAAACATGCAACGTCTCCCTTCGCAGCATGTGGCGCTCGACTGGGCTAGAGAAAGATGGAATTGTTCGGTTAATTGAATTATAATTGTGGACGGCAGGCAGCATTTCACCCCCCTAACGAGATTTTCCCCACCGACCACTCCCTCGCAAATGATCACGTCGATCATGTCGAGCAGTCAATCAATGTTCTAAAGATATTTTCATATTCTCGTTGCCTTCTCGTGGGTAAAATGTGTATATATTGCGTGTAGCCGAAGGCAGAGTTCATTAGAAATGCCAGTGCAGTGAGGGATCTGCTTGGGGATGAGTTTCAGTTTGATGGGGATTGAGTACAGAAATTGTTATGATATTTATGGGTTAGAAAATTATGGGAATGATACGTGAAATAGATGTAATTTATAGTTGTGGAAATAACCTAAATCCATTAGAAATAAAACTAAGATAAATAAATAAAAATATTTTAAATAGGTCTCAGAAATTGTCCAGGTATCAAGATAAATATAAATCTAGAAATACCTAGATAATTGTAAGTAGAACATGACCAGACTATGAAGCTAACTGAATTTGTTGACGGCGACTAGAACTCGGGTTGAACCGAATCATTTGCCCAAATCAGTTTGCACCTTTCGGTCGTCCAATTGCCCCTGATTCCATGCGATTGAACTCTACTTTTGTGGCACGTCGGCAATGGCGTCAGTGTAAACAACAGTGGATATCCACCTAAGGCGGATCACGCACAGCAGAGCCACAGTGGAACCACCCGTTGAGTGGAGAACGGGGAATGGAGAATGGAGCATGGGGACTAGAGGGTGGAGCGGTTTGGAGTGGCACATCATCCGACATCCCTTCGTGCTGTTTCCTGCCCGAAAAACACGCGCTGATTGCTTTGGCTGTTGAAATGCGCTTGAAAAAATAAACCAAGAGCCCAGGGAAAAAGGCATAAATTATTTGATGCAACAAAAACCCCCGTCCCTGTGGAAAATTAAGGTGACCATATGTGGCCGGAGGGCACCCGACTGAGAGCAAGTGAAGCAAGAAAAACAGTTCATAAAATCAACAAACAGCAGAAGCTGAACAGAGATCCACAGAAGCCAAAGTCGAAGTCGAATAGGAATAGGAATAGGAATCTCGAACAACATTTGAAATGCCATGCAGGGAATTCCTGTGTTGCTGTTCGTGTTACAAATAAACTTCGAAATGCATAAATAGTTTACAACAATAACAGGGAATCAGCAGCAGCAGCGTTTCCCTGAGAAGGAAAGAAAAACAGGAACAAGTGCGTTGATTGCAGCCAGCCGCCTGCACTTTGCAGTGGGAGTTGGGTGGAAAATCTGGGAAAAACTTGGCGGGGGAAATCGTGTGGGCCGAGCTATTTTGAAAGCGTCTGCCGAGATGCCGAGTGCAGAATTCAGAATGGAGAATGGAGAATCCAGAATGTAGTTGCATCTGCAGCATACCAAGAGTTCATTGGTTCCCACTTCCTCCGTAGCGAATTCCCCCCGAAAATGTTTTTCTTTACTCTGCTCATTTACATTTTTTGTGTTGTTCAGCTCATTTGATTTCCGTGGACTACGACCAGCGGGAAATCAAAACTGACCAGAGAGCTGGATTTGAAAATTTGTCTTTTAAAGAATAGATAAGAAAATAGCTTAACTTTTAAAGTTAAATTTAAAGCCCACTTGTAAAAATAAAACCAACTACATAAGTTTTTATTTCTAAATTTCTAAATCAGTTTTTCAGTTTTATCTCCTCACAAAATCGTTTCCCATCTGCGTTTAAAATAAAATGGAAATAAATTCCCCCCGGCGAACTGTAACCACTTTGCAACTTCAATTTCTTGTTACAAGTGCAACATTTTATTAACCCTCCAGCTCCAACTGAAACTCCACCCCACCGTTAGTTCGAACAATTTCCCTACATATTTGGCGCTTTGGCATCGTAAATATTTTTATTGCATAGCCATAAAAAAGAATAACACAAACAGAACGAAGGAAAAAGTGCAATAGACTATCAACAGTTTCACGCCTTCCTTTTGCCTTTTGCCTTTGCATACTGGCATGTACATGCGAATATCGGTTGATACTTTCCGTCCGTTTTGTATCTTTGTTTATGCCACACATGTTACGCCTACGAAAAAGTCGTATAAAACATCGGGGGAAGTTCGAAAACACATAGGCCCTGTCGCATGTCCCGCAGGCCTATTGTCTGCCTTTGAGTCGGAATCGGAATCGGTCTGGAGTTGAGTTCAGTTGAGTTGACTGGCTGTTGTTCCTACATTTGCGAGCCATATGTGGCATGAAAATGCTAATGGGGAGACTTTGCTTCTACCTAGAGGTTGCACCGGAAAAAATAATAATATATCGCATTTAAAAACTTTAAGATCTTTAAACTATTTTGAATTCCATAAAGCCTAACACATATCGTATATTTTCTTCAGTGCAGAAATTCCCCGGCTGTTTGTCTGTCAATCACAAATATAAATTATGCAAAACAAGTTTGCTGAGATTTATTTTCCATACCTTGCATGTTCTGTAAATGGAAATCGACAAAGAGTTGCATAGAAATTTCAATGTACAACATTAAAATGCGGTTATCGGGGAAAACTTGACCTAACTGGCTCTTGAAACATTCCTACATTTTGGAGCTAACAAAATATCAAAGCTGTCAAACTGCTGCGCTTGATATGTGGAGTACAAAGTTCATCTGTCAGCTAGGAATCGAAATTCGGATCGGTATCAAGAGTCATGTGCTGTCCACTTTCCAACTTTTTTTAGTGGAGCGGCATTTTCCCTTTGAAATGCCAGAAAGTGCCACAAACAAAAAACGCTGATAAGCCCGCGATTTATTTATGATTTTGTTCGATTTGGGGTCTGATGCTTTCATAAATTTAAATTCTACAGTGGCCATGGCGTTTCAATTAAGCAATTGTTGTAAATTGTTTTTCGATTTTTTCAGCTCCGTCTCCGTATTTCCTTCGACCGATATTGATATTGATATTGATACTGAGTGATATATGGCTGGCCGGGCAGCAGCCTGTGTATCGATAAGATTTCTGGGGGACTGGCCAAAAGAAATTAGTCAAAGTTGGAAGCGCTTGCATGCAAATTATTGTTATGGGCAATTTGGCCATTAGCCACAGCGCCATAAATTATAAACAAGACCCATGGCAGAGTCGCCGAGATGCGAGATTCGAGATGCCTCATTGAAATTCCCCTAGCCGAAGGCAGAAATCCAAAAACCAAGAGCCCGGGGGAAATACGACTGCCTGGGACATGTGCCTCGCATTTCAAATTTACATCCACATCCATATACTATACTATATACGTATATCCCAAGTATCCGTAGATTGAATTTGGTAATTTGTGGTCTCGCATTGCTTTATGCATTTCCATTCGGATCCGAATTGGACTGCAACTTTATGACTTGAAGAGGGTGCTAAATTAGTTGGAAAATATTTGGAAATATGTGTTTTGGGCGGGGAAACTCAATGGCGTGGTCGGTATTTATAGAATGTCTTTGGCCTGTGTTTAAGGTGGTAAATTAATCAGATTTATAAATGATA